ATATTTTTGTTTCAAGCCTTGAGTTTATCAATGAAATTCTACAGAGAGAAAGGGAAGTCACTGCAATTTTGCCAAAAGGAAGAAAGAAGATTATAGAAATCATTGTGGGAAAGTCAACGAGCAAAAAATTGGAAACGTCTCACCAGTTGGCTTTTCGTTGGTTGACTCGTGGAGCAAGTCAGGATAGGATGATGATCATACTTTAACTTGACCAAGTGGAACACCGTTGATTGTGGGTACAATAGCCTCCACTCCGTGTTGCATAGGCTACAATCCTGTCTCTTTGATTCTGGACGAGCTTGTGAACCAAGTGAACTTTGGCCTAGTGAATCCAAGGTCGATCAACTTGCACTCATCTATGCATTCGTTGAATGCTCTAGTTTTTGCAAAGATTCCAGGAGATCCTCCTTGTTTTTCATATGGTCTGGTGATGGGGTTGAAGTCACCTGCCAAGAGCCAAGGTAAATTGTTGCCTCTTCCAATTCTTCTCAAAAAATTCCAAAGCTCAGTCCTCCCATACTCTTTCGGGCAAGCATAGACTACAATAAAAAACCAATCTTTTTCCCTTCAACAAAGCAATTCATATGGATGAATTGCTTCTGCGTGCCCAATAATTCGAGATGGATTTGTTTCCTGTCCCAAAGAACCTAAATTCCACCACTGGACCCCACAACATTCGACACTTCCCAACCATCAAACCCGAGTGTCTTAATGACATATGTAGTGTCTTTCCCACTGATTTTGGGCTACAAAATACACAAGATACTTGGTTTGTGTGAGCTTCTGTAAAGCTCTAAGGTAGATTGAAATTTGGGTTGTTTTGCACCCCTACAATTCTAGGCAAGAATCTTAATCATTAACATGAATGAGAAGGTCCCTCCTACAAGAAAATCTTATTCACTGACTGTCGACAGCCATGGCCGTCTCTAGCATCTCCAGGTTTCCACTTAACATAGCTTCCCTCGTATGCTCTACATAGTTTGGCAATGATTCATACTCCTCCCTATTGGAAGTAAAATCAATCTTCCTAGGGTGCCCTTTCCCATTATCAAGGGATTGTAAGATGAATTATCCTTGTTCCTTACCAATGTTTTGTGTGCCCACATGCTTCATTTTAGGCTGGTGGCCAGAATTAGCACTGGATGAGTCATCAAAATCTTAGGACTTATCTCTAATCCCAATGTCGAGGAGAGGTGATGGAGCATACTCTTCCTTTTGCTTCCCTTGCACACTAGACATGGTCTGGCGAGGGTTCTCCTTATGTGGTTCTTGCTCTCAGTCCCTTCTTGGTTGTTCCTTTCTCCTGCTTGCTAGTTGTTTTCTCGACTTTCTTCTTAGAGGTCTGAGTTTCAGGAGATGTTTTTTGGTTTTCTTTCCTTATGACGCTGGTTGGTTTCGTCAAGTGCTTTCCTACTGGTGCTTAAAACATTATTCTCATTGCCTTTGAGCTTCTCTGTAGATGAATATTCTCCGGTTATTATTTTGGATTGATTGCTCGAGTCCTTATCTTCATTGGTATAAGTTGCATCTAACTTTTCCCGCTTTTCATCCACATACATGCTTCTCTCCTCTTATCACAGTTGACACCACCCCCCTCTTCCGATAGAACATCAAATTTGGTTTTGTGACAAGTTGATCGGTTGTGGTTCCCTTTCCGTTTGGTTCTCCTTCCAAGATTTTAGCCTTCTGAATTTTCTTCCTTCTCTTTAGTCGGGTGACGAGCATCTGAAGTCCAAATCTCCTAGGTCGCCATTGTTTAGCTTGCTTTCATCTTATCTTCTAGTGATGCATAATTTCCTTTGGCAGGGCATGCTTCTTCAAGATGGCCATAACGCCCACAGTCAAAACAAACAGTGTGGAGCCCCTCATATTCCACCCTCCTAACCCTAGGTTCCAAACGATACTTAAAGACCAACTGTTTCCTTAAGTCAATCTCGATACACATCCGGGCATACTTTCCTTTGAACCCGTTGGAAGTATTGTAAATAATTTTCTCCACTCTGCCTATCTTGTTACCAATGTCAAGGAGGATTTCTTTGTCAAAATAAGCAAGAGGGAGTCGTGGTAACCTTACCCAAACCGCCACATGATTGATAGCATCAAATTCGAGATCGAAGTCCAACTTTGAAGGCTCTGAAGCAATATAATGGTCTTCAATGGTCCAAATCCTCCATAGAGGGTTCTGTTGTAGTCCATTTGATAATTGAAGATTGCTTGATAGCACTCATTTCCAATATACCCCACCTTCAATCCATAGAAGTTTGCCCACATTTTCTGGATTATGCTTTTCTTGATTCTGATTATAGGGCAAGCTGGATCGTCTTCCCCCTCAGATTCAACTGACATAAGATTGTCCCCATCCGGGATTGATGGAGCCGGCTTGTTCCCTAGAAAGTAATCTTTGTAGACACTTTCGCATCTCCGTGATTCTCGACTATGATGTCCACATGCCCTTTCATGGTAGATAGAAACTTGATAACACCTAAATTGGTGTTATTTACCCTTCATATTGAGGTTTGTTTCATACCAATTCATGTGCATAATTGCTTGAACATCGTCGATTGCATCCATATTTCGTTCCTATTTGAATTGGATGTGATTTTAGGGTCTGTTAGAAGATAATTGCAAATTAGGTACAAAACAAGGCTACAAGTGTAGAAGGGGGCAGAAGACTGAAGATCGTGACCTAGAAGAGAAGATCACGGTCGAGATCAAGGACCACGAAGTCAAGCTAAAGATTGCGGCCTGGAAGTCCAAGGTTGCGGCCGCGAATAAGGGGCCAAGGAGAAACATAAAGTCAACTAAGGAGGTCTAGACACTTCACGTGTGCATTGGGGGACTTATAGAAAACATTGAAAATCCAAGGACTCCATTACAATTTTGCAAATCAAGACATCTCACCCTCGTGACCAAGAGCGAAAGGAACATTGCCTTCCCTATCAAGGCCCCATGTGGGCAACATTATGGTCAGATTCATTGCCCAACACCACTTTCCAACCTGCACTTCCACGTCTCAACGACATACGAGCAAACACACATGTCGGGTGCAAACGAGAGTCGAGGTCTCGTGACTCGCTAAAAGAGACTTTGTCTCTTGCCATATGAGACCATGAGGAGAGGTGTTTGGAGGATGGAAGGTAGTGAAAGATGATCGGGACACTAGAAAGCTATGTAACCCCCAAAGACATCCTCAATGGCACTTCGGACTAAGAGAAGTGCCCTTTGAAACCCCTACAATTTTCAATGCAAGGAAATAATCTAGGTTCCAAAGCACATCTCAGTACCGCCCTAAACCATTCATTCAAGCACAGGAGCCCTCAAATTGTAGGAATTTGGAAATCACAAGGCTCCAACACATTCAAATTGGCCACATACACCCCTTCACACTTAAGCACGATATTGTTCTCAATGGAGTATAGAGAAGGGTGGAAAGAAGTTACCACATACAATTGGCGAGTGAAAGTCGAACTGGAGAAGGACCAGTTTTGAGAGGGGGGGAGAGCTTCAAAAGGAGACAAACACAAACACAAACTCGTACAAGGCGAGGTGATTACACAATAACATTATTCAACATCACATAATAGAAAACAACACAATAGTAGTCACACACACAAAAAGAAAACAAAGAGTCTAGAGTCAAAGGGTGGAGAAAAGAGGTGGAGGTATGATGGTGCCAACATGGCACACGTGATGTCTACTCCTGGCGGCAAGGAGGTGAGGGATGCCACCCAGGATGTTGAACCTTAATGCTCCGAACACGGGCAAGCTCCTCCACTAAGTAGTGGGAATATCGTGGGCGTTTTGCTCCCGAGCGAGCTGGGAAGATACCCCGGCAAACTGGCCCTTAAGGACAGTGACTCGTGCCTCTAAGCCAGCTGAAAAAAAGATGATCCCGCTCCAGCTGATGATGAAGAGGCCCCATGATAGACACGTCGACAAGATGGTGGTGGTGCTCTCCAACATGGCTCTGGTGCCTCCTCCACCACGGGTCGGAATAAGGCAGAAGGTCGTAGGTCATTGATGTACTCGATGCCTCGCTCGACTCAAACCAACCTTATATAGTGGAGTGTCTCCTCCGGAAATATCTCGGTCCGGCCCTCCTGCATGCAGTGAGTGAGATCCACTCCAAAGTACGTGACAAATCTGGTGATGATGGGGCCCAGGTGCATAGTATAGACTCGGGGACAACCCAAGATCCTTGACAAGATAGTTGCCACCACCGAACCCAAGTGAATCTATTTTTAGGTTGCTTATTTTTGTGTTATTTACAAGAACAAATGGATTTGTTTTTATTTATTTAGCATGCAAACTAATTTTGAGAAGTAATTAAGTGATACGTGGTTGATTGTTATTCATGATATCCATTGTTATTACTACTCGGTATTTTAAGTATTAATTTTAATATACAATTCTGATTTTTTTCTCAATTTTCAATTTTACCTAAAATCATAATTTTGACGATATTATAAATATAATTAAACACCAAAATATTTTGAATAGATTGGTAAATATGACCCTACTTTAATAAACAATTTATGATATTAATTTACAATTCTGATTTTTTCTCAATTTTTAATTTTACGTAAAATTATAATTTTGACGATATTATAAATATAAGTAAATACCAAACAATTTTGAATAGAATAATAAATATGAGCCATACTTTAATTTACATCCCTATTAAAAAGTAAAGCACTTGTTCGTCCAAGCAAAAGCCAACAAAACACCCCAGAAAAGTTGGTCTCTTTTGTTGCATCGCTGTTTCCAAAAATGTTTGAGCCCCAAAAGAAGGCCCCTTTATCGCATTTTATCATATGGTTTAGACTTCAATCTTTTTCTCCTCCACCAGTCCACCAAGATAACAACAATAGGTTGCTCTTTTTTTCCCCCCTTCATGTTTGTTAACCAAAAAATTGGAAAGTCGAGGTCTTTGTTTTGGAGGCATCCTAGCACTCTTCATCAGTTTATCCATGGTGGGGGGCGGTATTGCTGATTCAAAGGTAAATAACCCATATGAGACAGAGAGATGGAAACATTCTGAGATTTGGCCTTTTCTTCTTCTGTGGTGGGAGGCGAATGTTAATTGGCAGCTGAGCCAGAGCCCAGTGGTGGCTGTCCAGGATAAGAAACAAACAACTCATCTTTCTTTCCCCCTAAATCCTAATCTCTTCTCATCTCATCTCATCCCCAAAGCTTTTATTGTTTGGACGGGTTTGTTTGTTTGATGTGAATCCTTATTTTGGTTGGAGGGGACTTTATTGGGTGCTGTTTTATGGTCTGTGGGGCTACTACAAATCCTACTTTTGGGGGTTTTGTCCTGCAGATTATAGTGCCTAGCTCATGCACCTACTCAACCTTTTGTGGGTTCTTTGCTTTTTCTCTCTAGTGCTGCTGTCTGCTCTGCCTGCCTGCCTGCCCATCTCCTCCTCCATGCTTGCTTGCTTCTTCCACAGTCCCATTTCATTCTTCCTTTCCTCTTGTCACTTTTCGCCAACCAAAGTGATAAGAAAGGGCGTTGCTTTCCTTCCCTAAATCTGTAAAGTGTTATCTTGATCATTCATTTTTATCTTTCTAGGAAGCTCCGTGCTAGCATTGTCCATCACTCATTTTCCTTCTTCTCTACTGTTTAGTGTTCTTTGGCTCGATCCCATTTTGCATACACAACGTATTGACTATTGAAAGATTGGTACGTACAACTAAGTTGGAATAATCTTTCTTGGGTGGTTGATTTGATTCTATACCAGTTTTCCTTTATTGGGTTGTGCTCCTAATTCATTGCACATCACGTCGTGTTCGGTGAAATGTCACTCTGAAAGTGATAGAACTTCCATCGTTTTCTTTCTTGGAAGCGGATGATGATGTGTTCTGAGTTTGATTACTAAAATTTTGCAGCAAAGGGACAGAATTTTCAACCGTTGAGTCTTACTTTGAAAACGAATAGAATAACCAGATTGAAAAAAAAAGCTGTGGAGACCAAGCATGTTCTGCATCGTATTTCTTTGAAGCCACGTTCTTTGACTTTGATCCTAACGATTCATATTTCCTTCTTCTACCTTTTCTATTTTATTTAAGTAACACACACTTATTAATATATTGTTATTAATATTGATATCCGCTCTTATTATTTACTTTACTGTGGAGGAAACAGCTTTGTTGGTAGTGATGATGCTTTCTTTTAATGTGTTTCCTGAAATCTTCTTCCCTTTTTAGAAATCCTCCCCCGTTGATGCTTCTTGTCCACTCTTTCGGTGCTTCAATGGACAATTACCAAGATATGCTGTTTTAACTCCTCTCATGTTGCAGGTGTAAGCGTGCCTTTTGTTAGCTTGAAATCAAGAGCACACGCCTGAAGTTTACAGATCTCTGGAGGAATGTGGATTCTGGGGGTTTGCAAAGCTCTTCAATAGCTTTGTCTAGTGAGAGAAGCGGGAGAGATCTGCTGCAGAAAAAGGAAACGGGAAAGCAAAGCTATAAACAAAAGGGAAAATAAGGGCGGTGGTGTCAGTTTTGAGCAAGTGGGTTCTTTTTCTTTCCCCATCTTATAAGTTTATTGAAAGCAGTAGCTGTCTTCAATCCATAGTTAAGCTTTGGGTGTCTTGATCTCTGTTGCCGGTTGAGGAAGCAACCCAGATCACTTGGTCTCGAATCACACTTATCTTTCCCCCCTCCACTCTCTTTCCACCATCTCCTTTCCCTGGATTTGTGGGCTAGATTCGGTCATACTAAGAAACACTCCTTTAGCAGGTTAATCCCAGCTTTTCTTCTTTGGTGAAAAAGCTCCCACCTTTGAAGTGTTTGGAAAGCCTTTCCTTAGCTGAGATTGGAGTCTTCACTCTTCAAGAAGAGGGCAGGAGCTGTTATTTTGAGTTTTGAGGAAAGATGAAGTTTATGAAACTTGGATCTAAGCCGGATTCGTTTCAGACAGAGGGAGATGATATCAGGTAAACAAATGATGTTCCTTCCTGTTATCTGCTGCTTTTAATTCCTCTGGATGCTATCATTTGTTCTCAAATCTGTTACCTTGTCTCCTAGTCTTCTTTTGGATAACTGTCTTCCATTCCATTCCTGCCCTTGGGGATTTTGTTGCTGATATTGCACTTAGTTACCTACTGGGCTTTGTTTGTTTGAGCTAGATTTCTCTGGCATTATTAATGAGTTGGCGTTTTTACAGTTTCAGCCGGTCTTGTGGAAGCTTGGCTTCTTTAAAGAACGCCTTATTAGTCGTTTGCATCAAACTTGTTTCTTTGTTTCCGTACCTGGATTTAACAGAGATGAGGTTTTGGTTTCCCGATTAGATAGATGGTGGTACTTTCTTGAGTTCAGTATTTAACAGAGAAAAATGACGTCAATTTGATTCAGCTCCAAATGTCAACCATGTGTCCAGTAAACCGCCATGTGAATACCCCATTTTTTCCAGTTCTGGTTTGCTAACTCCTCTGTGCATTAATTGATGGTTGAGACTTCTTTCCTCTTCAACAATTGATTTATGCCATTGCGGTTGTCCGGCACATAATCACATTGGTTAAGGAAACTTTGTAACTGCAGGTATGTGGCTACTGAATTGGCAACTGATATAGCAGTGAATGTTGGGGATGTAAAATTCTATCTTCACAAGGTAATGAATTCAGCAGATCCTGACATCATTGATGCAACCATTTTTCAAACTTGATTGGTGAATATTTAATGTCCACACATTTCATTATGTACCATGTGAAGGGTAGTAACCTGGTGATTTGGCTATGTACATATTTTTTGCCCCTTTTGGAACCGTTGTACGTGAATTTATTGTTTCCAACTTGTTTGTGTAGTTCCCTCTATTATCCAAGAGCTCCCGTCTCCAGAAGTTGGTTTCGAGCTTGAATGATGAGGGCAGTGATGAAATTACCATTCTGGATATCCCTGGTGGTCCTGCTGCTTTCGAGATATGTGCAAAGTTCTGCTATGGCATGACGGTTACGCTCAATGCATACAATGTGGTTGCAGCTCGGTGTGCAGCAGAGTATCTCGAAATGTACGAGTCTGTAGAGAAAGGAAACCTCGTCTACAAGATCGAAGTCTTTCTCAACTCCAGCATTTTCAGAAGCTGGAAAGACTCCATCATCGTTCTCCAAACTACAAGGTCATTCCTCCCGTGGTCTGAGGAATTAAAGCTGGTCAGCCGCTGCCTTGATTCCATAGCTTCCAAAGCTTGCATTGACACTTCTAGGGTGGATTGGTCATATACCTATAACAGGAAGAAGCTTCCATCTGAGAGTGGGAAGGATCCATTATGGAATGGTGGTAGGAAACCGAATGAGGTTCCTAAAGATTGGTGGGTAGAAGACCTTTGTGAGCTTCAGATTGATTTATACAAAAGGGTTATTGTCACCATGAAAACAAACAGGAATGTATCCAGTGAAGTAATAGGTGAAGCATTGCATGCATATGCTTTGAGAAGACTGCCTGGTTTCAGCAAGGGCACCATTCAGAATGGTGACATCTCTAAATACCGATCCGTGGGGGAAACCATTATGTGGCTACTGCCAGAAGAGAAAGGGAGTGTTCCTTGTGGGTTCTTGCTGAAGTTGCTAAGAGCTGCAATTATGCTTGGCTTTGGAGATAGGGAAAAGAATGAACTGATAAGTAGAATCAGCCAACAACTCGAGGAGGCTACTGTCCCTGATCTTTTGATTCCAGCCCAAGCTGGGGGAGAGACGACCATGTTTGATGTTGATATAGTACATACACTTGTTGAGGAATTTGTGAAATGTGAACTGAAGGAGCAGGAGATCGTTCTTGTTGAGAGCATTAGCCCGAAGTTTGGTGCAGATGCCTCTAAGGTTCAAGTAGCTAAGTTGGTGGAGGGTTATCTTGCTGAAATAGCTCGAGATCCCGACTTACCACTCTCAAAGTTTCTTGACCTTGCTGAACTCGTATCAAGCTTCCCTAGACCATCCCATGATGGATTATACCGAGCCATTGACATGTATCTCAAGGTAACTTCCATTTTACAACTTTTATGATATTACAAACAAAACTTAAGCTTAAGATTGCAATACGGGCAGTTTGGAGCAGGGCATGGATACTTGTGCCCCGCCCTGCCCCATTCTCAACCCGTTTGGTCCAAATTATCTCTAATAATGTTCTTCGGAATCGATCTTATTTCGACTCAGCTTAATCATGCTTTTACTCTCAGCTTAACTACCACTATGTAGAACCTCCTCTTGAAGATCGACTTTATTAGTTTATGTCATTCTCTCCCATTCTATGTACATTGTATGTCTTTCGTATAATACTTACATGAAAAAATCATTTGATTCCTTTTTTTTCCTACTAAAATCACATTCCTGAATGGGCCGACCATGTTCTGGTCTGCGCCATATGCCAAATTGCTCAACCTTACCCGCACCTGCACCTGCTGCGGGGAGGGTATGAGCACCTCATCATGCTCGAATTTTATTTTTCTTCTTCTCGGGTGCTTTCATGACTAATATTTTGTCACCTATTTCAGGAACATCCTGGGATTAGTAAGAGCGAGAAGAAGAGGATATGCAAGCTGATGGACTGCAAGAAATTGTCGGCGGAAGCATCCATGCACGCCGTTCAAAACGAGAGGCTGCCATTGCGTATTGTAGTTCAGGTTCTCTTCTTTGAGCAAATGAGGCAGCAGGCTTCATCCCCCGGGGGCAGCAGCACTCCGGATCTATCGTCAAGCTCCATTAGGGCCTCACTCCCGGCTGGAGAGTCTCATGGAAGCTCGAGGTCAACCACAAGCAACACTGAGGAAGAGTGGGACTCGGTGCCAACAGCTGAGGACATAAAGGCATTGAGAGGCGAACTCGCCACCCTACGACTGGGAGGTAACAATGGTAGTGGTAGAAGCCAGAATGATGGCGGTAAGGCCAGAACTACTGATGCTGCTGCAAATCAAATGAAAGGTTTGGTGATGTCAAGGATGTTCTCAAAGCTATGGTCGAGCAAAGACCGAAATGGGGAGATTAGCAGCTCCGAGACGTCGGAGAGTCCAGGATCGAGCTATGTGGAAGAGACTACTACTAAGTCCACCCCATCAAGGAACAGGAGAAAATGATTTAAGTTTGCAATCATGGTGATCATGGTTGGTTACGTGTTTTAAACAGGGCAGTGCAGTATGGTTTCCTACTTAAAAAGGACAGTTAGGACAGAGTTAGGGCCGACTGACAGTTTTAGTTTCAGCTGATGTGTTAGTCTGCAGTAAAAGGAAGGCTTCCTGTAATTGTTGAATGTAGTATGGGAGATGGGTGTCGTTTTTTTGGTTTCTAAAACAGATGATGGAACCTAAGATCCATTGTTTGGTTCCTTTTGTATGTGTTGAGGAGGCGTAATGCGGACTGACAAAGTTTTGATGTAGCGTGCCCAGAGAGAGTGCAGTTTGTAGAGGATAGAAAAAAATGTAACAATGACCTCTACTTGCAGCCCTACTTTCTTTTAGAGCTGAAAATTGCCTTGAACCGTCCTTAACTAGTCCCTTTTTTTTGATAAGGGTGAAAATTCCATTAAAAGAAAAGAAACAAAACAAGGGCCACGAACCCAGTTCAGTACAAAGAGCAAAAGAAAAGAAATGGGAAAAGGAGGAGACAGACAGGGGCACAAGCGGTGCAACCCAAACCCAGTCCCAAAAGCGAAAGGGAAATAAAGGGGGGAAGGAGTAACGAGGCTAACTAGGAACCCCCAAACCAGAGAGAATAAAACCATAATTCCCAAACCAAGGCAAAAGAACCAAACAACCTGCAGCACCCGAAAGTAGACTCAATAGGGCAGGGGCAAGACAGCAGCATCTAAACAGCAGCAGCACGGCGGCAGCAGCCCGACGGTAGACACACCACCCAACACAAATCAGCCGCAAACCATCAACAACGTCCAAGAAACCGAGCAACAGCAGCACCAGCAGAAGCGACAGAGCCCAGAGAAAAAACAAAAGCTCTCAGACCACTCACAGTACAGCAACAAGGCAGAAGAACAAACACCCAACACAACCAGCAGAAGCAAAAGCATGAACGACATGAAACCTACGATGTCCAGCAGCCAGGACCTCCTCCAAATTCCAGTCAAGTTATCCCTGAACCATCTAGCACCTTCAGCGGCATCCACTTTTCCGAGAGCAGTAATCCACTCCAACGCATTCTTAGCAGCCCAGCTTCGAAAGCAACGAACAGAACAGGAAAGGGAAAGGAAATCCTCCACAGCGTCCAGATAAGAAGACCAGGGAAGTGTCACATAGATCAGCGACGGAGCGACTGCAGAGGCTGTAAGATCACAGAGAGCGCCAGCACTCAAAACGAAGTAGCCAAGAAACCAAGAATAGGGTCCAAATCACCAGCCGCTGCAACTCCAAACAAGCAGCTGCGACCGGGGCCTCCAACCTTGATCAGCAAACGAGTGAACTGACACTGAGAGTCATGCCGGGAATAAAACGCTCAGTGTTCGTTGTAAAGGTGTCTTCTGCTCTGGTCGTCAAGCCACTGTTTGCCTTCTTCTTTGGTGAATTTCCCCATAGCGATTGGCCATTCCAGCATTGATTTGAAGGCTTTCCGAGCAACGATCGTGGAACTTTGGCTAGTGTCTTGGAAGATTCGACGATTTCTCTCTAGCCACAAGCTCCAGGTGATCGCGTGCAAAGCGCAGTGGTTGATCCACTCGGCCGGCTTGTTTGGTGGTCTGCTTTGCCAATCTTTAACTGTAGAGAAGATGTTGTCACCGGTGTTGTCTATACTGGGGCAGGCGGCTCTGCATTTGCTCCAAACTTCTGTGCTAAACTCACATTTGACGAACATGTGATCGGCGGATTCTTCTTCTTTCTCACATAAAGCGCATCTATTAGCCAAAGTCCACCCTTTAGTCTTGAGATTGTCAAGGGTCTGAATCCTCTTGAGGGTTGTCAACCAAAGGAAAATGCAGATTTTTGATGGTATGATCTGCTTCCAGATGGACTTGGCTGGGAAGTTGGGATCTCCTTGAAACTTATTCTTCACAAGTGACCTGTACATAGAGTGGACAGAAAAAGCTTTGTCTGGGTCGGGGAGCCATACTAAGCGGCTGGGCCCGCTGGAAATTCTGTTGTTAGCGTGATTAACCAAAAATTCAAGCAAAGATGAAAACTCTCGCTCAGCTCCCCCTCTCAAAACGAAATTTAAATTGATGTCCCAAGGGTTACCTTCACCATTTCCATTTCTGACGTTGGGGATTCTTGCTTCAGGATCGGACGAAGCCGCAGCGACCCGAGGAAAGTTGTCGGCAAGGCATGTGTTGGGGATCCAAAAATCGTGCCAAAAAGAGCACCAAGCACCATTACCGGGATCGATGCAAGTTGAGTTCCAAAACTTGTTGTGAACCTTCGAGATGTTGGCCCAAACGGAGTTGGCGAACCCATTGCTGCATCTGCCGGTGTGCCAAAGGGATTGAGAATTGCTGTATTTGTGGCTGATTAAATTCCTCCACCATTTCTCACCCTCGGTGGCGAATCTCCAGTGCCATTTGCTTAGCATTGCATCGTTGAAGCTCTCCAAATCAGTAACGCCTAGTCCCCCTTGAGATCGGGGAGCTTTGCATCTGTCCCAACTTACAAGAGGGACTTTATCAGCGTCGCCGGTGCCGCTCCAAATGAATCTGCGCTGAATGCCTTCCATGCGCTTGATCACCGTCTTCGGAGCCTTTAGCAGGGAAAATAGGTATACGGCTTGGCTGGACAGAACAGCTTTGTTGAGGACGACCCTGCCTCCCATCGATAAAAATCTGCTTTTCCAACCCTCTAGCTTCTTCTGGTATTTGTCGATAATAGAGTTCCAGGTGGAGATGGCATTCACTTTAGCTCCGAGAGGGAAGCCCAAATACTTGGAAGGTTCAGAACTCCATCTGCATCCGAACAAATTGGCAAAGTACTCTGGATTTGGGATGTCGCCGACAGTGAACATCACAGTTTTGTCCAAGTTGATATTTAATCCTGTAACCGTTTGAAAATACACGAGTGCGGCGATGATGTTGAGGACTTGATCGTACGAGGCTTCACAGAATATGAGGGTGTCGTCGGCGAAGAGGAGGTGGGTGACCTCGCCGCTGTTATTGTCTTCATTCATGCAGAAACCTTTGATTTTCCCCACTGCACTCAATTTGGCTATCATGAAGTCGAGGATGTCCATTATCAATACGAAGAGGCCTGAAGAAAGCGAATCCCCCTGCCTGAGGCCTTTGTGCATAGGAAAGAAACCCTTGGACTCGCCGTTGATGAGGATAGAAACCAGGGGAGAGCACATAGTACCTCGAATCCAGTTGACCCATTTTGGCGGAAATCCCAGATTATCAAGGACTTTGAAGAGACATCTCCAGTTGACATTGTCGAATGCTTTCTCAATGTCGATCTTGAACATGAGGCCAGGTTTCTTGCTCTTCTTTCGGCTGTCAACAAGTTCGAATGCGATCAGACCAGCGTCGGCAATCTGGCGCCCTCTCACAGATGCTTGCTGGTTGTGGGACGTGAGATTCGGCAAAATCGAGCTGAGCCTGCCCGCCAAAACTTTACTCACAAGTTTATTGATGGAACCCATCAAACTGATCGGACGTAGGTCCTTAGTGTCTTCCACGGCATCTCTTTTGGGGAGCAAGCACAGGAAAGAATGAGTAGCACTTTTCGGAAGGCGGCCATTGGAATGAAACTCTGAAAAAGCATTGACACTGTCGGTCTTCATCCAAACCCAGCACTTCTTGTAGAACTCCCACGTGAAGCCGTCCGGACCGGGGGCTTTGCTACCATCGAAATCATTGATACATTCATAAATTTCTTCTTCGCTGAAAGGGCGTGTGAGGGCGATGGCTTCAAGGTTGGAGACAGCTCTGCTGGTGTGCATTCTGGGAAAGGGACGGTCGGGGATTGCTTCCTCGAAGAAGTTCGAGTAGTAATCCACCAAACCATTCGCGACCGCTTCTTGTCCCTCAACCATGGAGCCATTGATTTTGATGCAGCTGATCTTATTGAACTTTTTCCTGAAGTTGGCAACTCTATGAAAAAAATTGGTGTTCTTATCCCCTTTGCGAAGCCAAACTTCTCTAGATTTTTGCCGCCATGAGATCTCCAACAGGTTGAGAAGCCTGCCAAGTTCCACTCTCTGAAGGTCTCTAGAGATAGACTTGGTGTATTTTGTGGGTTTTAGAGGTTTTCAGGCTGGACTATCAGTTGAGCTGAAAAATCGTGTTTTGCTGTTAACCGCAATCGAAAGGAAGTTATATTGTCATCCGCAACCGCATCGAAAACTGTTAGCGGTTAACCACTAACTACAAAGTGTAATTAACAATTAACTACGATTAAGTGCAGTGATTATTTTATGTTAGGCCAGTCGTGTCAAATTGCTACTTGTGTGCGATGGTAGGTTGGGAGCTCAAGTACTCATTGATTTTGGACTTCACGTTATTCACTCACAATTTTAATTAGTTTTTTTTTTTTTACAAAAGATAATCATATATTGATTCAAAATATCAGATAGCTACACCCTGGAATACAACCAGGTCTGGAAATCAAAAGAACGACAAGTATCCGGATACAAAGAAAGGGCCCTTCTAGCCACCGCATGGGCTACCCCTATTGTTATTCCGACCTACAAATCGTATACTAAACCCAGAGTGAGTAGCAAAACAATGCACAACCACAATTTTAATCAGTTACACTAAGAGACTATTGCATGTTGTGAACGCCTAACTGAATTCTTAATTGTGATTTCTTAATTGGTTATCCCTAACTCAGTTGCAGTTAAACCGCAAAATGGAGCATATTACTAACCATGATTGCATAAGAGCCTTCTTTTTCAATTGCGGGAAACCACAAACCGCACGATTTCGGTGCAATAAGTAGTTTAGTGAGGGAACCGCAACCGTATTCCTATTCCTGCTTTGAGCTCTTTAAGCAGATTTATGCTGAAATTTACATTTTTCTAATTCTTTGATGCCCATCAAAAAATACTATTTGCCACCCATAATTTGAATAAAATGACACATTTGCCCTTTATCATAGGGAACCAAGGCTTGCGGAATACTTGAAGCAAGTGTTGCCATCAACTGGACGGAAGTAGGGGTGGGCAACGGGACGGGATACCGGTCCCGTTTGGAGACCAAAGTCCATCCCATATCCCAGACTCATATGGGAAACGGGTACCCATTTTCCGTACGGGACGGATAACGAGTACCCATACTACCCATAAATACCCAAAGTTTAAACCACTAAAATTTTAACAAAAGTTTAAACTTAACTTGTATTTGTTTAACAATCACAAGATACAAAATACATCCCAATCACAATTACTCGGTTTGCAAATAACATATTCATGAACAATCACAACACATAGAAATAAATCATTCCAAGCACCAAATTATCAAATAAGAAGTTTCATTCAACATAACCAAATGGGAGGCATGCTGCTACTTTTCTTGTGTTGCTGAATGCAGAAATTGTCCAAATTTTTAGGTTCATGGGAAGCTAAATCTATAGCAGAGAAGCTGAGTCTCACTGAAAGGGTAAGAGCCCTGAGTCCAAATGGCAAATGGAATTGAAATTGCAAGGGTGAGGGTCGAAATGGCCAATGGGTTCTGAATTGGGCTGGGGTGCCTTTGTATTGAATGGGTATAACGGGTACCCATATTACCCTAACGGGTATTCGCGGGTAACCTGCGGATACCCATATTAGGAATGTACAATCCCAAGTCTCATCCGTTTATAATATTACGGGTAATATGGATATCCGTAACCCTTAAAAAACGGGACGGGTACAAGTATACCCAAATACCCGTTTCCCGTTGCCCACCCTAGACGGAAGGCCTGTCATAACTATAGGTGTCAAAACAGAACCCGACCCGAATAACCCACCCGATCAACCCGACCCGCAACCAGACCGCAACCCGATTGACCCGCAACCCGATTAACCCGCAACCCGATTGACCCGCAACCCGATTAACCCGAACCCGATTGACCCGCAACCCGATTAAACCCTTAACCCGAACCCGATTAATCCGAACCCGGCTAACCCGCGACCCGCTCGATTGACCTGAATAATTATTGTATTTATATAATATATACTCTTTCAAAAAAGTTATCAATTAAATATAAACAAAGTAAAATTTTGTAATCATGATTTATGAAGTCTCACTGTAAGTAATATGAAACATTTTTCCACCAAAATATTGAAATGATTATCATATATAATAATTGTTTTCTATAGTTGGATAAACACCAATGAGTACACTCAAATTGATTATCGTATATAATGAACATACAATGAATTTCAAGAGCATATATAAACACATCGTGCAGGTTCAAGGCTAGTATTCAATTAATTAATCCGTTTAAATTCTACTCATTTGATGCAAATATATAATAAATAATCTTTCCAAATGAATTTTTTTTCTAAACCTAACTAAAAACCATTTTTATTTCATAAAGGAGAACCCAATTAAATATAAATAGAGTGAAGTGATTTATTTAATAATTTGATTATTTTTTATAAGGATGAACCCAATTTTTGGCGCTAAATCTTTCAAGTAGGCTTTATCATACAAAAATATGGATGAGACAAAAGTGAAAAGTTAAATTGTTTTGCAATTTCTATCTGCAGATAGAGAGCCAAAAAGGACCCGGGAAATAAAATTTGTTTGGCGCCTGGCAGTCGAGCTTGAAAATTGGCAATGGCCCGCGAAACAAAAAATACTTGGCGGGTCATCAAAATTAGGCGGGTTAGTAAATTTATAAACATTGGCGAGGGTGTTTTCTTATGGTTTATTGTAATAATGGGGTAGTTGACTGGTTGTGGACTAATAACATCCATTTTCTTATTCTGTTTCCTCAAACTAGCACCAGCACGATTAGGAGTTTTTTAAATGGTTAGGTAAAGTTTAAATTTTGGGATTTTGATGAAATTGAAAACTTAATAGATGAAGCCAAAATCAAATTTTAGCACTATAAAAAATGAGGAAATTACAAAACCATAAACCAAATACGTAATTTTCTTAAAAATGAGGAAATCACGACTCAAGATATGCTTTGAAGGCTAATATATACATATGTATGTAATTGTTTATGGGCTAATAAATAAATTAACCATTAATTACAACAATTTATACTAAACTTGATAAGTAATCTTTGACGGTTCGCTGTTTAGGATATAAAGTATATGGTTAGGATATAGGGTATAAGGTACATATGGTTTAGGGTGTTTATGGTTAGGGTATAAGATATTGATGGTTTTGACGGTCCTAAGTTTTTTATTAACATATGTTCACTTGAAATCATTTGAAGTCTTTAACGGCAGGAGATCCCTTTTTAATTTATGTTTATGGTACGTGGTTAGGGTACAAGGTATGTGGTGTAAAGTATAGGATATATGGTTAGCGTATAACAATTAGCAAATATCACTTTTTATCTATGTTTTGAAAATCAAAGTATGAATTTCACTTTTAAATTAACTATACTAGCAAAATCACAACTGAAAGACATATGGTTAGGGGATAGGGGATAGGTTATGTGGTTAGTGTATAATGTATTGATGGTTTAGGGTATACAATCAACAACATATACTAACTTAATATTGTTGATTGAGGGTAAGGCTAAGTGTATATGATATATGCTATTGAGTAAGTTATGATTGAAGTCACAATAATTTTACTAAATTTGATAGCTAATCTTTAATGGTTCAGTTTTTAGGATAATTCGAACAATTTTACAAATAACTCGTTTGGCAACAGTTTACTGAAGTTATTTGGCAAATGAGTTATTTCGAAATAACTCCTTTTATCACTATGCTTTTGCCAAATACCACACGCCAAATACCAGGTTTGCATGGTTATACTAAACGAGATACTTTAATCCAATTACTACTGAATTAATACTAAAATATCAAATAAACTATTAATGTCGTCTTTTGGTTGCAAATATTGATATCACCACTACTATTAGCTATAATACTTTACCAATTATGATTAATTACATAACAAGTTTGCAAGTCATACAAATTGATTTAACATGTTGACTAGTTTTTTTCAAAAAATAAAGTATATATATACGAGGTAGAAATAAATTGGTTAAAAAGTTGAGAAAATATTTTAAATTAGTGTAATAAAATGTGTAAGTTGGTAATGAGTAATGAGTTAAGTTACTTGATGCGCTGGCCCGAACAACCCGAAACCCGATCCGCCCGCAACCCGCCCGACCCAAAACCCGATGAACCCGCAACCCGATTTGCCCGCAACCCGATTGAACCCGAACCCGAACCCAATGAACCCGACTAACCCACAACCCGTTTGAACCCGAACCCGATGAACCCGAACCCAAACCCGATGAACCCGCAACCCGACTAACCCGCAACCCATTTGAACCCGAACCCGCCCGATTGACACCTATAGTCATAACGTCAGAGTTGGTGAGGGGTCACAAGGGGTTGTGTTTGTGTCATCTCACCCTCGACTATAGCAGCTCACTTTTTTTCAGACTCATATTCACCTGAATATGTGGTAGCCTACTGCGTTCCCCTTTGGGAGTTTAACCTTTTTTTTTTTTTCCGTAGAAATATAACATTCACTCTCTTCAAACATTTTGATTAATTTCGAAATGGTTTGTGGTACACAAGTACAACCATGTTCATTCATAAAACAAAAAAAAAAAAAAAACAGAAAGAAAACCTAAAATCAAATCTAAACGACAAGGAAATCAGCAGTGCAGCCACAAGGATTCCTGGCACCAGCAATTACAAAAACATTTGTTGCAAATTCAAAGAAATGGAGTTGTCAGTCAAACCAAACACAAATGTTAAAGATTTAGAATTGAAAGGGGGTTGGGAAATCACAACTGGGGAAAGAAGGGTAGTAAAAGCTCAACGCCACAAACAATGAAAACAAAACACATTGTCGGGAAAAAGAAAAAGCCCAAATTACATTTGTGACTCCCTTCATACCGAGTTGATGCTGCCGGCCAAATTTTGTCGACTGCATACTCAGCGAAAGAGGAAACATCGACGAAGCCTAAGATCGACTTCTACTGCTTTCCGCATTTCGAATTGGGTAGAAATACGGATGTGCCTGCATCATGCAACATTTTACAACAGCATTCAGTCTAGGGAACATGCAAGGATGCGTGATTTCAAGGAAAGGGACCTGATCGACCGGACAATCTTAATTGATCGGTAGAAGGGTTTACCATCGCTTCTTTTGCAGTTGGTCTCTCTTGGTGGTCATACCGCAACAATTTGTCTACAAAGTCGATTGCCTTTCAAGAAAAGAGAACCAACTCCAAAATTAGTTCTCAAGAGTCGCTTAGAGAGGAGCAACCACTCAAGTCAGCAAACAACTTCCTACCTCAGGAACTGCCAAATGCTGGTTCTCAGAGTTGATGAATTTCATCCATGGTTTCCGGCCATGCCTGTACAACAAAAGTCGAATGCTTTCAGCACAAAACTTGGAGTTCCGGAAGAAATAGCAAATTCACAGAAGAAAATATAATATGAGCTGACCTCCCGACAAGGGCAGAAAGATGTGGATCAATATCTATGCGGTACTTGCTCAAATATGCATTCAGTTCGTCTGTTCCCAGGATCTGTTGCACGAGGAAAATACCTTCAATAAGGAGCTTATTATGACATTACAAGGAGCTGTTAACAATTCACTTATCCTTTGATATTTCCGTAACAGACCACTCAGCTTCTCTCAGGGATTCAGCTCAACCGAGTAAATGGCCACCAAGGAAAAAACTTATTTCCCCACAACCAAAACCCACCGAACAGGACATAATAAAAGGCTGTCCATGCTATGTTTTTTTTTTTTTTTCTTCTTCTTTCACTCTTACCTTTGCTATTTTGACCAGTTGATCATAATTATCATGACCGTAGAAGAATGGCTCCTTACGGAATATCTGCAGGAAAACGAGCCAAAACATAAGCAACAAATGAAAACCAGCAGACATATCCTAAGTCATGCTTGTGATGGAGCAATGAGGATAAGCATAAAATGTAGTGGTCGAAACACTGACCATTCCAGCAAACATACAACCAAGACTCCACAAATCCAAAGAGTAGTCATAGTCTTGCAAATCAACAAGAAGCTCAGGGCCTTTGAAGTACCTGCAGAATAGAAATCCTATCAAGAAACCAGGATCATATCACTTGTAGGAAATTTAGATAATCGAATATGGAACACTTCACGCTATAGAAGAAGGCAAACTAGATTATTATAGTTCTCAAAGTTTATCCCTACAATATGTAAAGCATCAAGCTTTGATTAGAATAAAGGCATCTGAAACCAATATCCATATACAATTAGAAGACATGTTTAATATACTACAAGGAGCCAACCTTGAAGCAACACGAACATTGTATTCTTTCCCAGGATGATAGAACTCTGCAAGGCCCCAATCTATGAGACGGAGTTTCCTCTGCTCATGATCAATCATTACATTGTGGGGCTTGACATCACGATGCATAATACCTTGTGAATGGCAATAATCAAGTGCCTGCACAGGGGGAAAAAGATGGATCATATTCGTCACTGAAAGGGTATTGATGAGTCCATGGCTCAGTTATTGTTAAACAGGAGGGAGCCAAAACACCTAACGCAAGATAACATTGTCCAGTTCATCCTAGCAAACTTTCGTACTCTGGATATTGCCTGTTCTTTCTATATTTTCATGTCCCACTTATTTTATAAGAAAACTACAACATCACCACCAGAACTGTGCATAGTGTACCAGTATTGCAGATGAAAGAACTATTTCATTAGATTCTTAACTATATATCATATCCCAATTTCGGAGTATAAATAGCTGACGCACCAGACCAAGCACCTAAGCTCAGGATATTGATAAAAAGAAAAAGGGAAGAAGAGAGAAAAGAAAGGGGGATGATGAGTCACGTCTACAGAAAAGTGCTTAGTGATTCACATCTAACATCACCAATTGCACAAATAGCATCATGATCGCTACAGCAACCATCATTTCGAACTTTTCAAACATGCAGAACGTGATATATGGGATTGACATGCATTTCAATTCACTAAAATAATATAGAAGAGACATCACCTTCAAAAGTTCGTAGATGTAGTATCGAATATCATAGTCCTGAAGTGTTGGATAAAGTACTTTGAAATCAGTGTTATTCACATATTCAAATATAAGACTTGGTGTCTTCGATTGCTGATCTCTAACAATATCAAGCAACTTCACTATGTTAGGCCCTCCGCATAGATTCTGCAGGATTTTTATCTCCCTCTTGATCTGCAAATATCATAAAGTTAAGTTAGATTCACAAATGTCAACACGTAGATAAACTTTGTTGAAGGAAAATAATTGATTCTTAAGTTCTGAAGTCAGCAAGCCAAATGGCTATTATATCAAGGACACCTTTCAAACAATACATCACTTAAGCGTCATTTGTTGGCATCTTTTAAATTGACAGACTGCCCTGTCAAAAGCTACAAGTCACCACAAACACATACCCTCTCCCAGCAAATAAGAAAAAATGGGGAATCTTGAAGGTTAAACTATACACAAATTCATACATGACTGGTAACAGGTGAAGTGTTTGAAAGAAGATAGAAACTACCGAATTCAAATGCAACACAATATTGAATACCCACGGAAAAGCTCAACAAAAAAAAAAGTACAGTAATCAAACAAACAAATGGCATACTCGCCACCATGTAACATGTCAAATCAAATGCCTTTATGGGACTCACCTTCTTCTTCTTAACAGGCTTAAGTATCTTAATGATACATTTTTCATTATCAGTGCAATGAACACCTTCAAAAACCTCACTGTATTTTCCTCTGCCAACCTTCCTCACCACCTCGTAATCATCTTGTTCCCTGTAGACACCATCAGATAACTTCTCACCACCATCCAACAGAAAAATAACGCAGAACTGCTTATATGCTAAACATATAATAACCAGGACACCAGAAAAGAAAGTGTTATTGTAGGGCCTCAAAATCGGGGGGTAAGGAGAGACTAAATGGATAAAGGAGATCTCAATTTTAACATTAATTTGCATGTATTATAACGAGAAGCAACACAATGCATTCCACAGAATCCTATCTCACTTCAGTTAACTGTTCATGCATTACAAGGACCGCAACCTTGCATTTGGAATACTATGGCAGCACCAACTAGCTAGAGAGTCACCTGAAGCAAAGCTACAAGTCAGCTGTGCGAGAATCAGTAGACTGACAAAGCCATCAAATATGGAAGCATATTTAGTTGGTATTAAGGTTAAATTTCCGAACACAACATTGCCAAATCTTCAAACACTTAACTTCCCCTAGCCAGGCTATGAACAAAGAACCAACCTTCAAAGCACAATCACGAAATCCTACACCACATGAAGCTGAATGAATCCAAAGGATGCACGGAGACGTTAACAGGAACCATGGGTATTTCCATCCTAATCCGAGTTTCTGGCAAATATCGACCAGATAGATAGACTATCTATTTAACCTTTACTGAGATTAACATGCCCATCATTCCTACTTCCAATTTCTCGGCATCCAACCACAGATGAAACCGAAAAATGAAACAACTAAAAAAAAATTCAACAAGGAAACAAATATAAATTAAAAATGACAAGGGAGGGAAGCAAGTCAATTTACCCCCACAGAACGGTAAGCGTCTCATAGTCCCAGTACTCCTTAGGCCGGATAACGTTAACATCGGGATAAACCCTAGCCTTAGAAGGCGCACCAGGGCGCCGAATCGATTTCCCGATCTTCTGAGCCAGCGTGTCGGGTGTGGGTGCTAATGACCTCAACCGGTGGTAGAGCAGCGGCGGTGGGGAAGGCAGCGGCTGGGATTGCGGTTTCTGCTTCGGTCGCTGTTGATGCAGATGGTGGTTAGGTTTGGACTTGCGTGGAGAGAAGACGGAAGCAGCAGCGGCGGCGGTTGTGGAGGAGGCAGAAGATGCCAATCGGCGCAGGAAGGCGACCGGGAGGAGGCAAGAGGCAGAGGAATTGGCGACGGAGGAGAAGAAAAGAGGGGAGACGCCGCAGGTATGGCGGAGGAATACGAATTGGTGGTGGTGTTGTTGTTGAAGCAGCAGAGGCCCTATGGCCATTTAATCATGGTGGAAGGGGAAAAGAAAGAAATTTTGGTGGAAAATTAAAAACCAACTTTTATAACCGGAATCGCTTTCCTCCTCCGTATTCTCTTCTTCTCAATTTTCCCAGCTCCTCCTCGCTTCTGGTTTCTTTTTCCTTCTTCTTTTTCTCCTTTTCTGTATCGCCCCGATAATAATAATTAGGCGATAATAATTAATTAGTTGCCCTGCATTATTATTTATTAATGACATATATGTATATTTCATTATTTCTGATCCCCCTGTCTCTTCCCGTCTTTTCTTGTCAGTGGATCCTTGTCGCGACGTCGTGGCAGGTTATTGTAAGTTATACGGTGCCGTGTGCATGTTTGTTTCTCAATTTCCGCCGGGGGAATTTGAGGCGTGACTAAGATCGGATCATGTGACTAACGGGGTACTTAGTCACTTGACTAAACTTATCTTAACTTTTATATTTGGACACTCCAATCTAACGATTAAAAAGTAAAAATGAATTTTAAATTAATGATAGGAGTATTTTGGGTATTATGAAAAATTACGAAGTACACAAACCGAACTTGCAAACAATATAATAAATATACAAACATTACAAATTATAACTACAAAACAGACAAACAGATTTACAAACAATACAAACTAGACCGACAAACAATACAAACCATATAAAATGAAAAACAACCGGGTTGACTTTGGAGGCTCCGTCCCTATATAGAGGGGCTTCATCTCAAAGTCAACCCGGTTGTTTTTTAGACATACAAACATTACAAACATGGTGTACAAAAATGACAAACTAGACCGATAAATCATACAAAATGGAAAAACACCCGGGTTGACTTTGGAGGCTCCATCCCTATATAGAGGAGGTCCATCCAAAAGTCAACCAAGTTGTTTTTTAGGTATAAAAAATATTACAAACATGGTTGACAAAGATGGTGCAAAAAAATAACAAAGCTTACAAAACATTACAGAATAAACCGACAAACATTACAAAGCATACTAACAGTACAAAATAACACTACTTACAATACAAATCGATAAAATTGTATTCCAAACCAATGAATACAAAGTATACAAATCATAACATAAAGTATACAAACTAGATTAACAAATATTATAAATCAAAATATATACAAATTAGTCATATAAACATTACAAACACAATAGACAAAAATAACAAACTAGAATGATAAACTACAGGGCTAATACAACTGAGAAACCCGAACTATTAACTTTGTGTCATTTGTGTCCTAAAGTATCCGATATGACAATTGTGTCCCAATGTATAATAGTTATGTGTCACTTATGTCCTGGCAATTTTGTAGACCGTTATAGATAACAGTTGACCAAATGATGGTCAACTTAATGTTGACTTTTTTTGACATGGCAAAAATGTGGCAGCCACGTAGATGCCACGTCATTGACACCTCATTTTTAATTCAAAATTAATTACAAAATAAAAATAAATAATCATTAAAAATAATTTAAAAAACTCACTTTTTCCTTATTGCTTAAAAAATAATTAAAATAATTAATAAATAATTGACAACCTCTTTCGGCTTTCCCCTCTCCGAATCCGCCACTCCGGATCTCTTTCCCCTCTTTGATTCCACTACTCCGGCGAATTTAGCCAAACCTTCTCGCCGACTTCCTGAACTGAATCGTCGCCACCTCCTGATGAAGAAACCATCCTTGTGCGACGCCCTATGAAGAAGACGCCGGATGTAGAGGAGGAAGAAAAGCCTCGCTCTCTGCTCGCCGTCTCTTGGAATCCGTCCACCCAGAATCCACCATCGAGAAATCTGATCGGCGTGGGAAGAAGGTTGGGTGGCTAAATTTGGGGAAATTAATAATTAACATGATAAAGTAATCCAATAATCAATTCTCCTGCCTCTCTTTCCTCTCTCGTTCCCTTGGTAATATCGATTCAATCGATTTCCTCTGCCTTCACAAGATCAAACTTTCCATTTCGAGCTTCCATCTAAACGATTGGGCTTTGGATTCTGCGAAAACGCTGTCACTTCCATTAGCGCAACCCTTCTCCAACCAAAAGCATCCCTCCCACGCCTCGGCGAACCACATCTGAGGTTGATGGAAGCACCGATTCCCTGTGCCAGACGGAGATCTGACCACCAGTTATCTCTAGTCGACGCTCTAGAGTATCGAGCTTCTTGTCGCCGGAGGAAGAGCTACCGACGATGGTGGGTCTGAACGCAGAATCCGGCTTGGGATTGAAGGGGTGGGTTAATCCAACTTGGGATTGAAGAAGAGAACGATTAATCGAGGAAGAGAACGATTAATTGTGTCCCAAAAAACAATCCACAAATCATATATGTTTTTGTTTTTTATTTTTGTAATTTTGTAATTTTCTTTTTTTATATGAAAAATAATTATAAATTAATATTATAAATTCCACTTCAGATGCCACATCAGCACTTACTGGATTTTCTGTTAAAAACTAACGGTCAACTCTAACGGAGAAATAGTTAAGGACACAATTGTCATATCGGATACTTTAGGACACAAATAGCACAAAGTTAATAGTTCGGGTTTCCTAGTGGTATTTGCCCTAAACTATACAAACCGAATAAATATAAACATTACAAACTAAACTTATAAACATTACAAAACTACAGGCTCGCCAGAAAATCCGCTCTGCCGCCGGAAAATCCGCTCCGCCGCCAAAAAATCACAGACTCTCTCTCTCTCTGGGTGCCAAAAAACTCCACGGAGGCTCTCACTTGGGGCAAAAATCTCCAATTCCAGGAAAGGGATCGTCGGGGAGGGGACAGAAGAATTCCTAGGCGGTCGTCGGCACTTTCCTGGAAACAGGAGGCTGACGGGAGCGTGGAAGGGACAACGCGTTCATCCTACTTTTATTTTATTTTAATTATTAAATAAATAATCTGTGTAATTACCATCTTGTCTTTCATTAAATGAGATAATGAGTCATTAGATTTAAATGAGGTTGAAGGGTGGAGATTCACTTAGTCACCTGATCTGAGCCCGGCGCGACCCGGGTTGGACATGAGAGTTACCCCTGGGTAGAAGGTGCAATCACCGCCTGGGAATTTGAAGACCCGACCTGCGGATCGGAGTTGACAAATTGCAAATACCTTGTTGGTCTAGGATTTCTTTTCTTTATGTGTTTGGACGAGTTTGTTGTTTTTCTAGTCTGTATAAAGGGTTAAACACAAGTTTTAGGTTGGATATTGAAGAATATTGAGTTTATTTTGGTTCATTGAGATTTTGGTTTGTTAACTCTTTCTTTGTATCAATCGAGTTTTTCCTTGATTGTGGTCGAGATTCTACCCTTACATTGAAAGCAATGTTCAAGGAGACCCTAGGCGCTATCTAGGCAAGGAGGCACCGCCTAGCGCCCAGGCCGATTAGTCGGTGCCTAGGCGATATTAAACGTTAAAAGAAAATGATAAATAAGCCATATTCCACAAAAGCCCAAGTCTCCATATCAATATTCATCCATTCATATACACATACAACTCTTTTCAACAATCCCAAACATCCCAAGTCGCCAACCATGAGGAGGGATCTCACTGCTGGTCGATGAGGGGGAGCGGCTGGTCGAATGGAAATGAGAAATAAAATAGGTTTGGGATTTTCACAAAAAGGCTACACTTTCCCCCTTTATTAGTTGTTCTGGGCGTAGCCCACCAGAGTGAAAACGCGCCTCCGAGCATGACGCTCCAAAAGCTCAGTTTGTTGAAACCAACAAGCGTCTGTGTACCATAATCATCAATTGGAGACGCAACCTAGGGTTGATCCACCAGAGAATCCAACAATTGTATGAGCTCAAACTGGAGCAAAGAATCAAGAGGGCCCCAAAGCAGAATGAGTTCAGAATTATCAAGCTTTTCTTGAAACCCCAGATTGGCAGATTCAACGGCGTCAACGGGCATCTTCATCATCTCTTCTTCATTCCCCCACCTATCTGTCGCCGACAACGGCCCATCATTCCGCCGCCATCGTCCCATCGGTGTTCGCGACTAGGCCCCAATATGTGACCACGCCAACACAGCCTAGTCCGAACATTACAGTCATCTCTCTCTCTCCTCACAAAAGCATTGTCGTGAAGGTCGTCCGTCATCCCGACGGTGATAATGAAGCGTCGCTGCTGTAGGTTTATGTTGGTTCTTCGTTATGCATGTTAGACGTTTAAGAAAGACTGTTTTTCGTCATCAACGCTCATGAATAAATTATTAAAGTTATACCACATCATTATTACTTATTGAAATATCACTATCATTGATTGACAACATCTTTATTAACGATTCATATTTCTATGTCATGTTCATAACTAACCAATCATGACCTCGTACAATGACTTCTAATGACATTATTAATATTTTGCGATAAGTTGATATCGCTTTATATTATCGTTCTCTGATGTCTAGGCGGAACAGTGTCAGGCTCACACTAGCTATCTTCATTATTGTCATATGCTCTTGGTTGTTGGATCTACTATGGTGTCTAGGCAGAATAATCTTACGTGACATGTTCTTAATTCTTGCTATTCCTGCTACCTATAAAAAGGTAGAATCACAACCAAAAAAACGTTGAACCATTAATAACATACATGTATTGTGTTGAAAATGCATTTAAAATAATTGATAATGAATAGACATAGTGATGATTAAACATACAACAAATTATTAATAACTAACTTATTAAACATTGATAACGGTTGTAGTGTAAACATGAAAACCCACTCTTTAAATCTTCAATAATATAAACCTATTTATTATTAATGGTGATTTGAAAACCACATTTTAAATCATTATAAACATCTAAAACCACACTTTAAATCGTTAATAATGTCGACCTATTCCATTGAACATGCTTGGAAAATTGTTAACATGCAACGCATAAGTATTAACATTACTAACGCCGATAAATTATTGACAACTTTCTACATCGTTACCAATCACCAGTTTTTCATTATTAACATTTCAATAATTATTCTCGATAAAGAAACACAAAGTTAACAAATCTCATGCACTTAAGAGATTTTTGTTTCCAGCGGACAACCAATAATGTTATCAATGATGATTATTAAATTAGTAACTTCTTTTACCAAGTTATCACAAACTTGCGAGCAGCTCCCATTAACAGTGTTGTCTAAAACGATGTAGGTTGCGAAAAAAGGGACGCGGAAGAAGGTTTCAAATGAACCGCTGATCGTCGAACGACTGGGGCCAACTGGAATTGTCATGATCTAACCGCACCTATGATGAAGAAACTTCTGCTGGAAAAGGCGCCCCGATCTCAACCGACGAGGGACAAGCTGTGAAACCCTTACTTTATATTACAAAACGAAACAGTAAAATACATCGAGTTTAAACATTCTCGGGCCCGAGCTCTACATATATATTTTTTTTTTCTCAAACTTCAAACCATAATTTACATTTTCATCAGAGTCAAAACAGAAAACCGGGGAAGTCCGCTTTATTACAAAATCCACACAACATAAAACATTTAAGGAGTTCGGAGTCCTCCGCCCACCTCATGGCTTCCCTTCACGCTTGAGTCCCGATATCTACAGTACAGACCTTACTTCTGATCTTGATCTGAGGAAAAATGGTGACGAAGGATGAGTCGTCGCTCAGTGAATAAATTCTAAGCTCAGATCGACATCAATACAAAAACAGTATTGGGCAGAAACACCCTAGCACATAACAGGACTTAAGCTGATTATTCTACTTTTCATTCCACAGGATCAATCAAGTTCACATGTTCACATCTCATAGTCAAAAACACATAAAACAGATGACAGATAGAGGCATTTTACTTATACAATTTCACTTTCAAACTTGCTAAATGATATACTCCTCGGGTAGTACAGTAGTGGAAGGCTGCAGGATAACCATGTACAGCCATCAGATAACTGGAGTACCGCGGGACAAAACCCCATCCGGTACGAACAGGAGTGCACAAGGCACGAAACAGGAGTGCTCAAGGCACGAAACAGGAGTGCTCAAGGCACGAAACAGGAGTACTCGCACCAACAGGAATATCGCGGGACACAACCCGGACCGATACAAAAACAGGAGTCGCCACGGGATTACCCCAGCCCGGCTAACTGAACAGAACAGGAGTACCGTGGGTCGTCACCCAAACGGCACGGTGCGAAGCACGAGCGCTCAAACAGGAGTATCGTGGGGTTTAACCACATCGATACAAACAGGACACACTACTGTACCGAGGTATCATAAAACCTTTTTACTTATTCTTAAGTATTCACCTCTTTTCATTAATAGTTCACTTAGACACTATAGGCTCAAAAGCATTCATAGTGCTTTTGTACCCTCAGTCACAACAGAATGGAATGTAAGCTGAAGAGCTTACTCCGAGTTATTCAAGCAGAACAGGATTAGTAAGCCTAATGGCTCACTCCAAATCTGAACAGACAAGACGGGTTCGCAAGTTCGACTACTTGCTCATAATCCGCACAATAAATCAACAAAATGTCTTTCCATATCTCATTCACAATTCATACATTTCCAACTTCATACCAAATGCAGATAATGAATGAACACAACCAAGCCATATCACATAGCCATATCATTTCCCATAAATTCCCATATTATACCGGAGCCTCTTCATGACCCCGATATGTATTCGGACCGCTTCATGACCCGAATACTGTGATTATGTTGAGGTAGATCTATGATTAGAATCTACTCACAGCTTTGTCTTCACTCGGCTATGCCCTTGCCTTTGGATGAGCCCCCGACTTGATCCTTACCTTTATGTACAAGATTTCCAGGTTATTCAAGCACCAAGACACGTATACAATCATCATAATCATGGTTATATTCATGCATGTCAATAAGACCACAAGGGAAGTCATACGATTGTACACTTTACCATGCTTCCTCATTTTGATCATTTCTCCCTTGATACTTAACCAAATCCGTTGATTCTTGTTGCTACTGAACCTATATTCATAGGGCTACAACATATCCAAATTTCAGACCATTTGGATCGGCCTTTGGATCCCAGCAATCATTTTAACTTGACATTTCAAAACTGTCAACAACTTTCTTTTCACTTTAAAACCAACTCTCCTTCTTCTAACAATTGTTCCTGACCACTCCGACATCAAAACTACATTCTGAACGGTCAATTCGAAGAACCACCTATACTTAACCTCATACCAAATTTCTAGAACGATCCAACGACGGATTCGCACAGGATCTTACCTCTAATCTGCTGTCCTGCTACAGAAAAATAGTATCGCACCCCTTCTGTCCAGCGACTTTCCTCGATGAACCAGAGATCATATCGATGATCCCAACGGTCAAATCGTATCCAAAGAAGTATTAAACCCAACCTACAAATATCAGGACGATCCAACGGTTTGGTTGTCCGGAATCGTCCTTCTCACAGGCTGTCTCGCTGCTGGACGGAAATTGGCAGCACCCCCTTTGCCTCCTTCTTCTTCTTCATCTTCCTCTCCTTGATATGCTTTTCTTTCTAGCTTTCACTCTTTGTTTCTGAAAGGGGGTGGTGGTTTTTGAGGTGGTGGAACCAGGTGAAAGGAAGAGAGCAAGAGATGGACGTGGGAGAGAGTGAGGGGAAGGGATGAGAAGGAAATGAGAGATAAGAGGATGGGCAGATTTTTATCTCCCTTATCTAGAATTCTCCATCCCTCCAAATTGTCTATTTGGCCCTAAACTTTCCTTCACTTGCAATTAAGTCTATCACTTCCACTATTCACTTTCTTTTTGGTTCAAAAGACTAATTTTTGTAACCCAATCACAACCACGTAATTATAACGTAATACTAGTACGAGGGCAGGGATGTTACATTTCCTCCCCTCTAAATAAAATTTCGTCCCGAAATTTACCTTGAAACAAGTAGGGGTATTGTGCTTTCATGCTTTCTTCCGTCTCCCACGTGGCTTCTTCTCCAGTGTGACTTTTCCAAATTACTTTCACCATAGGAATACTTCGATTCCTAAGTTGTTTCACCTTTTGGTCCACGATCTCTTTTGGTTCCTCCACATAGCTTAGATCTTTCTGGACCTCAATCTCATCTGGTTCCAGTACATGTGACGGATTCGATCGGTATCTTCGAAGCAAACTCACATGGAAGACATCATGAACTTGAGACAATTCTGGTGGTAAGGCAAGTCGATAGGCTACCGGACCTATCTTTTCCAGAATCTCATAAGGTCCGATATACCTCGGACTTAACTTACCCTTCTTCTGGAATCTCAAAACACCTCTCCAAGGAGACACTTTCAAAAATACTTTCTCTCCACTCTGAAATTCCATCTCTCTTCGGTGGATATCAGCATAGCTCTTTTGCCGGTTTTGTGTGGCCTTCAATCGGCTTCTGATCACTTTAATCTTATCCACTGTCATCTGAACGATTTCAGGTCCCTCCAATTGCCGTAACCCTTCCTCATCCCAGCACACTGGGGATCTGCATTTCCTTCCATACAGAGCTTCGTATGGAGCCATACCAATACTACTATGGTACTGGTTGTTATAAGCAAATTCAATCAGTGGCAAATTTTCATCCCAAGAACCTTGGAAATCCAGTACACAAGCTCGCAACATTTCCTCAAGAGTGAGGATTGTTCGCTCGGATTGACCATCGGTCTGGGGATGAAAAGCGGTTGAAAAGTTCAGACGAGTACCTAGTGCTTCTTGCAAACTCTTCCAGAATCGAGAAGTGAACCTCGGATCTCTGTTAGAGACGATGGATACTGGTACTCCATGTAGTCTCACTATTTCCTCCACATACTTCTTTGTCAGTAACTCTAGCGAACAACCCCATCTAATGGGTATAAAGTGAGCCGACTTTGTCAATCGGTCCACAATGACCCAAACGGCGTCGTTCTTCTTCTGAGTCCTAGGTAGACCATAGACAAAGTCCATGGTAATCTTTTCCCATTTCCATTCTGGAATGGACAGTGGTTGCAATTTTCCCGCTGGGGCTTGATGTTCAGCTTTCACTTTCTGACATACCAGACACGTCAAGACATGTTCAGCCACTTCTTTCTTCATCCTTGGCCACCAATAATGAGATCTCAACGAACGGTACATTTTTGTCGTTCCGGGATGCATTGCATAAGGAGAGGAATGAGCTTCTTCCAAAATCTCCCTTCGCAATTCATCCACATTTGGAACACAAAGTCTTTCATTTAGTGTCAGAACGCCATCTCGGAATGTGAATTTAGTTTCTTCCCCTTTACGACTCTTATCAATAATCTTCCTCAATTCAGGGTCTTGATCCTGAACTTTAATAATTCTCTCTCTCAGAATTGGTCGCACTTGTAAAGTGGCCAATAACCCTCCTGTGGAATTCATTTCCAATTCAACACTCATAGCTCTCAAAGCAATCAAATTTGCCATTAAACCAGTCTCCTCATTTTTAGTACGATGCGTGGTCTTTCGACTCAAAGAATCTGCCACAACATTTGCTTTGCCTGGATGGTATTCGATGGTACAGTCGTAATCTTTCAACAACTCTAACCACCTCCTTTGCCTAAGATTTAGCTCTTTTTGCTCCATCAAGTACTTGAGACTCTTATGATCAGTAAAGATCTGAAAAGTCTCACCGTACAAATAATGACGCCAAATCTTTAAGGCAAATACCACAGCCGCCAGTTCTAAATCATGAGTCGGATAAGATTTCTCATACGGTCGTAATTGTCTGGAAACATAAGCAATTACTTTGCCATGTTGCATGAGAACACATCCTAACCCTTGATGCGAAGCATCACTGTATACCACATAACCTCCAGTTCCTGAGGGAAGGGCAAGAACCGGTGCAGTGGTTAACTTCCGCTTCAACTCTTCGAAACTGGATTGACATTTATTATCCCATATAAAAGATTGCTCTTTCCTCAGTAACTTTGTCAATGGTGCAGCAATCAGAGAGAACCCCTCAATGAACCTTCTGTAGTATCCGGCCATGCCAAGGAAACTTCTTAGTTCAGGTATATTTTTCGGTGGCTCCCATTGTATCACTGCTTCTACTTTCCTTGGATCCACCTCTATACCTCTCTCAGACACCACATGGCCCAAAAATACTACTTGATCCATCCAAAATTCACATTTGCTGAACTTAGCATACAACTGCTTTTCCCTCAGAATCTGCAGTACGATTCTCAAATGCTCCATGTGCTCTTCTTCACTTCCAGAATACACTAGAATATCATCAATAAAGACGATCACAAACTTATCTAGATATTCCTGAAACACTCGGTTCATCAGTGCCATGAACAGAGCTGGAGCATTTGTTAACCCGAAAGGCATAACGAGAAATTCGTAATGCCCATACCTAGTACGAAAGGCTGTCTTCGGTATGGACTCATCCGCTACCCTTAATTGATGATAACCTGATCTTAGATCAATCTTGGAAAAGACCCTCGATCCTTGTAGTTGGTCAAATAAATCATCAATCTGAGGTAATGGATATTTATTCTTAACCGTTAACTTGTTGAGCTTCCGATAGTCAATACACAGACGAAAAGTTCCATCCTTCTTCTTCACAAATAATACCGAAGCGCCCCAAGGGGAGACACTAGGTCTAATGAACCCCTTATCTAGCAACTCTTGAAGTTGCTCCTTCAGTTCTTTAAGTTCAAACGGAGACATCCGGTACGGAGATACAGAGATCGGAGCAGTGCCCGGTATCAGTTCAATAGTGAAGTCTATTTCCCTTTCCGGAGGTAATCCTGGCAGTTCCGAAGGGAACACATCCAGGAACTCCTTCACAACCGGAACATTTTCAGGTTTCAATTCCGGTTTTCCCTCAGTCACATAAGCCAGATACACTTCACAGCCTTCCTTCATCAAACTCACCACCTTGGTGGCCGAGACTAGGCAACTAGGCACCACCTGTCTAGTCCCTCGAAAAATCACATTCTGACCATCTGGTCTTTCGAAAATTACTTCCTTAGTATAACAGTTCATTACGGCTCTATGTTGGCTTAACCAATCCATTCCTAGAATTATATCAAATTCAGTCAGCATTAACCTCAATAAGTTAGCTGGCAGAATAGTTCCAGCTAGACTTATTGGGGCATCAGGATAGGCATATTCAATCACTACGGTATCTCCTACTGGGGTTTGAACTATTACATTCTTGTTCAACATTTCAGAGTGCACAGGCAACCCACGTGAGAATGCAGAAGATATGAATGAATGAGTGGCACCAGGATCAATCAACGCATAAGCGGCAAGATCGTAGATAAGAACCGTACCAGTAACGACCTCTGGAGAGATGTCAGCCTCCCTCCTAGTCATAGCAAAGGCTCGTGGCTGCACTTCACCCCGACTGCTCTGTCCACCCTGACTTTTGCCACGATTATTACCACCTCTTCCTGATCCTCTCACTGAACCTCCAGTCCTTCTGGACCCTTGAATTGTGGTCTGGGATCCAGCAGGCCTGGACTCTGACATGTGGGGACAATCGCGGAAAAAGTGGCTGGTGTCTCCACATCGGAAACACCCACCAGTTACCCTCCTACAAACACCCATATGCTGATTCCCACAATGTGGGCAAATAGGAGCTGGGCCTGCACTTCTCCGCTCCTGTCCAGGGTAACTGGACACTGGACGCGAAACCTTCGGACTCTGATTAGGTCTACCCCCGAATGAGTTCCCAGCACTCGAGGAACCCACGTTCTTCCACTTTCTCTTCCTTCCTTCATCCATCTGTGCTCCCAATTCATTCACCAAATCCTCTGCTCTCATGGCAGCCTCTCTCAAGGTGGCAAGATCAGTCATTTCTGATTTTGCTACTATCATCTTGATCTGGGGATTCAGGCCTTGCTCATAGCGGTTGCATCTAGCACGTTCAGTAGGTACCAACTCCATCGCGAAGGTCATCAAACGATGGAAAATGGCATCATACTCTTTAACAGTCTGCCCCCTTTGTTGTTTCAGGTCCAGAAACTCTTTCTTCTTCCTATCCACATACAGATCAGGCACATATTGCTTACGAAATTTATCAAGAAATTCCGCCCAAGTATACCGAATTGTACGATCCTGAGCCCCGGGTACGGTCAACCACCAGTCATAAGCATCAGACCTGAGCAGGTAGTACATATACTCCACTCTTGCTTCATCAGGACACTCAAGGAGGTTAAAGATTCGTTCCATCTCCTTGATCCAGTCTAGAGCATCTTTAGGGTCAATAGCCCCTTTAAAGAACTCAGCCCCCATATTCCTCAGCCTTTCAAAATCCTTGACATAAGGATTGGCTCTATTGCGGGACTCAGCATTATTCCCATTAAAATTAGAACCTCCACCATTAGGGTTCCCGTGAGGTTGCGGATCTGCTCCTTGACTGAACTCCACAAAAACAAAATACAAAGTCAAAATCAATAATTAGTCACTTCCCCGTGAAATCATTTAAGTTTTCCCAGTAAAATCTCGTTTAAAACGTTTGGTATCCACGGGATCATATCCCAGCTCTGATACCAAAAATGTGAAACCCTTACTTTATATTACAAAACGAAACAGTAAAATACATCGAGTTTAAACATTCTCGGGCCCGAGCTCTACATATATATTTTTTTTTCTCAAACTTCAAACCATAATTTACATTTTCATCAGAGTCAAAACAGAAAACCGGGGAAGTCCGCTTTATTACAAAATCCACACAACATAAAACATTTAAGGAGTTCGGAGTCCTCCGCCCACCTCATGGCTTCCCTTCACGCTTGAGTCCCGATATCTACAGTACAGACCTTACTTCTGATCTTGATCTGAGGAAAAATGGTGACGAAGGATGAGTCGTCGCTCAGTGAATAAATTCTAAGCTCAGATCGACATCAATACAAAAACAGTATTGGGCAGAAACACCCTAGCACATAACAGGACTTAAGCTGATTATTCTACTTTTCATTCCACAGGATCAATCAAGTTCACATGTTCACATCTCATAGTCAAAAACACATAAAACAGATGACAGATAGAGGCATTTTACTTATACAATTTCACTTTCAAACTTGCTAAATGATATACTCCTCGGGTAGTACAGTAGTGGAAGGCTGCAGGATAACCATGTACAGCCATCAGATAACTGGAGTACCGCGGGACAAAACCCCATCCGGTACGAACAGGAGTGCTCAAGGCACGAAACAGGAGTGCTCAAGGCACGAAACAGGAGTACTCGCACCAACAGGAATATCGCGGGACACAACCCGGACCGATACAAAAACAGGAGTCGCCACGGGATTACCCCAGCCCGGCTAACTGAACAGAACAGGAGTACCGTGGGTCGTCACCCAAACGGCACGGTGCGAAGCACGAGCGCTCAAACAGGAGTATCGTGGGGTTTAACCACATCGATACAAACAGGACACACTACTGTACCGAGGTATCATAAAACCTTTTTACTTATTCTTAAGTATTCACCTCTTTTCATTAATAGTTCACTTAGACACTATAGGCTCAAAAGCATTCATAGTGCTTTTGTACCCTCAGTCACAACAGAATGGAATGTAAGCTGAAGAGCTTACTCCGAGTTATTCAAGCAGAACAGGATTAGTAAGCCTAATGGCTCACTCCAAATCTGAACAGACAAGACGGGTTCGCAAGTTCGACTACTTGCTCATAATCCGCACAATAAATCAACAAAATGTCTTTCCATATCTCATTCACAATTCATACATTTCCAACTTCATACCAAATGCAGATAATGAATGAACACAACCAAGCCATATCACATAGCCATATCATTTCCCATAAATTCCCATATTATACCGGAGCCTCTTCATGACCCCGATATGTATTCGGGCCGCTTCATGACCCGAATACTGTGATTATGTTGAGGTAGATCTATGATTAGAATCTACTTACAGCTTTGTCTTCACTCGGCTATGCCCTTGCCTTTGGATGAGCCCCCGACTTGATCCTTACCTTTATGTACAAGATTTCCAGGTTATTCAAGCACCAAGACACGTATACAATCATCATAATCATGGTTATATTCATGCATGTCAATAAGACCACAAGGGAAGTCATACGATTGTACACTTTACCATGCTTCCTCATTTTGATCATTTCTCCCTTGATACTTAACCAAATCCGTTGATTCTTGTTGCTACTGAACCTATATTCATAGGGCTACAACATATCCAAATTTCAGACCATTTGGATCGGCCTTTGGATCCCAGCAATCATTTTAACTTGACATTTCAAAACTGTCAACAACTTTCTTTTCACTTTAAAACCAACTCTCCTTCTTCTAACAATTGTTCCTGACCACTCCGACATCAAAACTACATTCTGAACGGTCAATTCGAAGAACCACCTATACTTAACCTCATACCAAATTTCTAGAACGATCCAACGACGGATTCGCACAGGATCTTACCTCTAATCTGCTGTCCTGCTACAGAAAAATAGTATCGCACCCCTTCTGTCCAGCGACTTTCCTCGATGAACCAGAGATCATATCGATGATCCCAACGGTCAAATCGTATCCAAAGAAGTATTAAACCCAACCTACAAATATCAGGACGATCCAACGGTTTGGTTGTCCGGAATCGTCCTTCTCACAGGCTGTCTCGCTGCTGGACGGAAATTGGCAGCACCCCCTTTGCCTCCTTCTTCTTCTTCCTCTTCCTCTCCTTGATATGCTTTTCTTTCTAGCTTTCACTCTTTGTTTCTGAAAGGGGGTGGTGGTTTTTGAGGTGGTGGAACCAGGTGAAAGGAAGAGAGCAAGAGATGGACGTGGGAGAGAGTGAGGGGAAGGGATGAGAAGGAAATGAGAGATAAGAGGATGGGCAGATTTTTATCTCCCTTATCTAGAATTCTCCATCCCTCCAAATTGTCTATTTGGCCCTAAACTTTCCTTCACTTGCAATTAAGTCTAGCACTTCCACTATTCACTTTCTTTTTGGTTCAAAAGACTAATTTTTGTAACCCAATCACAACCACGTAATTATAACGTAATACTAGTACGAGGGCAGGGATGTTACACAAGCGACGGCCAGCTAAAGCTTGCTTGAGGGACAACAAACGAGGGACACGGGAAGGCAGTGACTAAATTTGAGCAAACGGTTCGCCTACTTGAGAGAATAAGACGTGGGTAAGTTAATAGGGTTAATTATTGAATTTTTTATAGTAATTATATCTCTATAAATACCCTTAACAATTAATTAACTTATAACTATCTAAAACCCAAACAACCAATAGGATTGCTTTAATATTCTCCTTAAGGAATTAGGCTTAAGGACTAGAGCTCAAGTTGTTTGGGGTGAGAAATATGAATCAATCAATAACTACTGTCATGTTAGACGTCATTGCCACGTGGACCCATTTATAGGAGGTGCACGCTTACACCGGTGCCTCATTCATCATTGAATTGGCCAGAAAAGTGGAAACTACGATACCGCTCTATCTCCATCCTCTCCAATTCTGTCTTTGATTCTTTTGTCCTTGTCCCTCCATTCTTCCATTCCCAATTAGCCGAGAAGAATGACTGATAGTTAACAGATTCCTCTCTCTCTCCTTTCCTCCTTATCTGATTCCATCTTCCATTCTTATCCCGCAATCCTACTCAACGTCCAACAATGGCTCTGGAATCGAAGGCGACGGGTATAAGGCTCAGTCCAAGGCGCCGAAGAAGTTAGAAGCATATATGGTAAGCAGAGTCTTACACGATTTTTTTTTGTTGCTTTAGCTCGAATCCATCAGACCATCAATAACGACATGATCAAAGTGCCAAATTTTGGCACTTTTGGGCTACAATAGCAATAGTCAAAGGGTCAAAGTGTAGAGTTCTAGGATTTTTAGGCCAAATTTGGCTCACAAATAGATAAATAGAATCAAAATGTAAAGGTCTCTCGCAAGGAGGGGGAGGTGCGAAACGCGCAGGGAGGGGAAGGGACAGTAAGCGCGTGTTGCGCAACTCGCGCGTCCTTCCCATATTATTATTTTTTCAATATGCCAAATTGTAGATCATCCCTCCAAAAATTTCTCCACCAGCTCTCAATTTTGCCTTCAAAGCTCTTTTCTCCCCCAACAGTTATTTTTCCCAAACAGTTATATTTTTCAAATTTTTTTTATAAATACCACCATATTCTTCACTTCTAATTACACCACAACTACATTTTCCTCTCCCTCTCATCAAATATCAATCTCTCACTACATTTATCTTTCTCTCAAGCTTCTCATCATGGCTACTAGCCAACCCAATTGGAGCGAGGATGAAGATAAGAAATAAGCCAAATTTTGGGTTCAAATTTCAGAGGATGGTGCAGTCGGTCGTTATCAATCCTAGTCGATGTTTATTGCTCGAATTAAAATCACATTCAACAATGGAGGCACAATTATTTATCCTTCCGAGAGTGGGATGTTAACAAGATGGAAGAAGATTAACCATTATTGTACGGTGTGGAATGTAGTGTGAAGAGAGCAAATGCATCACCAATGAGCGGATCCAATTACCCTATTTTTTATGTTTGTGATAAAACTTTTTAATTAATCAAGTTTATATTTACTTATATTTTTTTGAACTACTTGTGCAGCTTGTTCATGTTCATGCTCTTTTCATGGCCAAACTAAAATAGATTTCGAGTACGCATCATATTGGGAAATACTCAAAAAGTGTCTGAAATTCATGGAACAATCCCATACCCCCGTACCAGACATTCCATCAGTGGATGGATCTTCATCATTAATGCCATCTAGAGTTCAAGCAAGTGCTCATCCTTATGTGGTTCGTCGTCCCAAAGGTCGAGATAAGCAAAAGAAGAATAAAAGAGGAGGTGCATCTGGAAATCCTACAATGAAGGCTTTCCAAAAGACTATGGAGGATATGGTGGCAAGTAATGCAAGACATGGTGCAATTGCTGAGTTGATGGAGGCACACGAAAAGGTGTGGGAGGAACGCTAGAAGGCGTCAGAGGCATGGGAAACGATTATGCACGAGGAGAAGATAATGAATATGGACTTATCTTAATTAAGTGCTAAAAATAGAGCATGGTACCAAAGGCAAAAGGATGACATTACGGCCTCTTAATAAGAGTATCCAACTTCAAGCCTAGGAGACGACTCATATACCCCATTCCATGACACTTGAGGGTCTTTGGGTTCATGTATGCTTTATTGTTAAGTTTTTATCTTTAAGTATGGTATATTGTTGAATGTTTATCTTTAAGTACTTTTTATTAATGGTTTGATGTATGCTTCATTTTCATGTGTTTTAAAATTATTAATGAAACTACTTTAATTAGTAGAGCATTGCACAAGGTACTCAAAAGACAAGAAAATTCAATGATCATAGTACTCAAAGAACGAAAAATAAATTTGAAACACAACATAAAAATACATTAAAGTACATTAACTAAACTTCAGACACAACATATTCATACTCCCCCCGCCTTCTTTTTCCCATAGATGCCCAACTAAATCATTTCTCAATTAGTTTTATACTTGATGGTCATGGATTCTGCCATAACTTGCCATGCCATATAAGTCATGAGTGTGGGCATAACATGATTTAGTTGATTCACTATGAAATCTGGATTAGTATTGTATTGACCCATCATAGCTAGTGTCTCTTCCCCATAGTTCTGTTGGTCTTCCACTATCATGTTAACATAATTTCTCCCATTGTCTGCACATCCCACACACGACTTGATCCTATGACAATGCGCCCATATTTCTTGTAGAATGCCAAAGGCTCTCTCAACATCTTTGCGGTATGTCTCTTGGCATTTTGCAAACAACTTCTTCTTCTAGTCATTGGGCGCAGTAATGGTCTTCACGAATGTAGCCCATTCAGGGTAAATCATGTAAGCTAAGTAATAATATTGATTGTAACTGTGACCATTAACTATATACTTAACTTTTGGGAGTTGTCCATTAACTACTCTATCGAAAAGTGTGGATACTCCAAGAGTGCTTATGTCGTTATGTGATCCAGGATTTACGAAGAAGGCATTGCCAAATCCATGTGTCATATGAAACCACAACTTCAAGGACAATGGTTGATTTATCCTTGTATCCAGTATATTGGCTTGCCCTCCTAGATTGACAGTTTTTCCACTTTCAATGCACACAGTCAATGGAGCCGATCATTGTGATGAAGAAGGCAGTGAAGATCTTCCTCATTTGGTGCTCGTAAGTACTCATTGTTGTAGATGTTGATGATGGACGAGCAGAATTTCCTCAGGCAATCCAATGTGGTGGTATGGGCCATTCGACAATACTTATCTAGGGAATCAGTCGTGCATCCATAAGCAAGAATCCGCAAAGAACTAGTAAGCTTCTGATTTGGGGAGAATGAGGAGTGAACTACAATATCATAGCTCTAATTGAAGTAGGAATTGTACTGAACAACATCATTCATGATTCGATTGAACAAGGAAGGGGGCATCCAATATTGTCTTCTAAACAACCTAACATTATAGGTTGGACTTGTTCTGAAATAATCATGCATCATGAGGATGTGTGTGTCTTCCTTATCACGAATCACTGGTGTTCATGAGAATGAACGATGTCGAGAGGATGATTCCTTTTGGTGGTGCATCATACCTCCATATATCAGCATTACTTGTTGATGTTGACGATGTCGTCGATGCTCCTTTTCCCATTCCTTGTCATAAGCTTCTTTACCTAGGAACTCATGATATATAAAGAGTTGGTGGTGTGTAGAAAGAAGTGGGAAGTTGAGATAATGTGAAGAAGGTTAAATGGTGGGATGAAGAGAATGACCAACTGAAGGCTTCATTTATAAGAACACGAAAAGATTCATTCTAGAACAATGTAATTAAAGTTGGATGCATAGTTGATTGAACAACTCATTCATGTTTAAAGTTGGATGTACAGTTGATGGAACAACTCACTCTGATTAAAGTTTGATGAATAATAGATGAAACAAGACATTATGTTTAAAGTTGGATGAACATTTTTTTACAGTGTGGATGAACATTTGAGGACACAACTCATTCTAACAAACATGTGATAAATCTATGGTTATTGGCACCAGCAATTGTATTCTCGTCATTGATGACACCATATTTATCGACGAAAAAAATATCAAAATTAAAAAATTACATCAAAGTGTTCATTTTAATTAATTGTGAATAATTATATAAAAAAATAATAAAATTATATAAATAAAGTAATGAAATGTACGATTAACTAACTAATTAAAAAATCACAAATATAGGACTTTGACATTTGTCTCTACTCCATTGGAGCAATAACACTTTATCAAGTACCAAATTTGGCACTTTGGCTCTAATTTTTAGCACCCCATTGTAGATGGTTTTAGTGGATTAGCTAGGACTGGTACGTAGCATGGATATCGCACTTGATCCAGTCTTCTGTGATTAGGGTTCAGTATAAAAGGGTTTTAGTTTGACCGTCGAACTCAATTGCTTGCAGTCGGATGAGGATTATGCACTGAAGCAACAAATAGAATTGTACGTTGAAAGAACTCAAGATGATGACCCTAGGTTTTAGCAAATACCCCTTAGAGTATGAGGTACCGATGTTAAAAGTTATTTTTCTTCAAGAAATTGATTCTAAATTCTTGTTCTTACCAAAATTGTGTGTTGTAGTTAAAGAATGTAATGTCAATTATAAGCAACATGACTTGCCTGTCATGGGATAGTACTTAGTAGATTCATTTGTAGGATAAAATGTTGGTACATGATATTTTGCTTCATTTATGGCTCAATGTCAGCCTGCAAGTTAAGCTTGAGAGATGACTCTAGAAGTCTCAAGATATAAAATTGCAAGGTCCTA